TTCCCCCCCGAAACTCACACGGATCAGGGCGTCTCCTCCCGGATACAACGGGCAGGTGACCTCTCACTGTTATGCATTCGTCAAAGGCACTATCGTTCGGGACACTTAGACTAGAGTTCTCATGCATACAATAATTTTCAAAAGAAAAGATTACACGAAATAAGGAGTGCGATAAATATGGAATACATCATAAATGTACCCACCTGATAGCAGCACGGTTCACAGTCACAAATCTCGTAATAAGGCAAGATCAACACTTCTAGACACCTACATGATGTCAAGATCCTATAATCAGAATCTATCTCGACTTAAATCAGAAATCACAAGACAGACCTAGTCGAACTCGGTTCGACTAAGTAGTTCGTGAAGTCCTGTGGATGTGGAACACTAAGACTCGGCACTAAACTCAACCAAAACACTTAAGGGAGTTCACAAAAATCCATCTAAGGTTTGACCAAGTCAAACTCACATAAAAAACCAAAAACCAAGTCGATTCAAATTCCACATAACAATTATACTCAAAAATTAAAATCATTTAATCGCGTGAAAAATAGAAGGTCAAGATATCCTACGAATTAAGCTCTGAAAATTTATACAAAATTTTATCTCCCAGAAACATGTAAAATCACAAATTTTCAGCTTTAAACTCGAAATATCCTATTTTATAAAATTCGAACAGTAATTCAGCAAAAAGGGCACATTAATTCATACTCAGACTTAATGAACGAATCTGAACCTGAACATTTTACACAACAACACTCAGTAGGCCAAAGTCCACTTATAAAAATTTCAGCCTTAAATGATAACTGCTGCTATTTTTAAAAATTCAAACGAGCAACAGCAGTTTATCGAATTTAAATCCAAACTGAAACCAAACGGACTCTAAAAATTCCCATATTTTACAAACATGATCAAATACCTAAAATATGACTCTCAGTAAAATTTCAGAATTTTCTATGCAGTAACCAATTTTTAAAAATTAAAACATCTTTTCTGCAGAATCAATAAATAAAATATTACCCATATCAAATCAACTCTAAAAATTCTGAAAATTTAACACAACACCTATAAGTCATAGAGGCATCACATATTCGAATTTCAGCTCATTTCAGTCAAGTATGAATTTATTATGCATTTAACAATATTCTGGACAGAACACAATTTAATTATTAAAAATAGTTACAGGTCTCCAAAAATTATGAAAATTTTACACAAGGCAGGAAACGAACAGATAACACATCCCACAAAATTTCACGTTGTTTCGAGCAGCGAGCTATTTTTAAAAATTCGAACATCAAAACAGCGACAATAAAGCTCGACAATTTGACAATTAAATCACAACACACAAATTATCGTCCGAGGCCTTTTCATAAGACCAAGGGCTCGACATTGTTCCATTATCCACGGACCTACACGACTTTTGAGGTCTCATTCAATTTTTAAGAAAATCGAAGAGATCCGAACACATACGATAACACATAAAATCATACTTCTTTCGTAAAATCATAACGAACACATTAACGCACAATATTTACGTCACGCAAATCACACATATTCATAAATGACATAATCGATTTAAACGGAACGGGATCGAGCCTTTGTACCGTTCTCGGGAATCAAACGGAAAACGGACGAACACGAACGGGGCTCGACGGATTCTCGCGTCTCGCCGGAAAAGAGAGAGCTCGACGTGCACGGGAGGGAGAAGAAGCTCCTGCTGGTTCGCGGGTTCGTCGGAAACGGAACGGAGGGTCGCCGGTCTCTGCTCGAAGAGATGCCGAGCTCGCCGGAAAAATCACGAGGCTTCACGGCGCGGCAAGGGAGGAGTCGCGGCAGGAGGGCTGCTGCTCGAACTCGTCGGAAAATGTGGAGCAGGGTCGCCGGACTGGTTCGGTCGCCGGAGAAAGCTCTAAGGATGATGACGATGAAGGTGCTGCGGTGGTGATGAGAGAACGAGCGAGCGTGATGAAGGTGAGGAAATCACAGCGAGGGTGATGAAGATGATGACGAGCGATGAGATGATGATGGTGATGAAGGATGATGACGAGAGATGGTGATGATGAAGACGGTCGAACGAAAGAGAATCGGAAGAAAACAGAAAATCTCAAAAGGCTGCGGGATTGGCCAAAAGATCGATACTCATATATATATATATACATATATATACACATATGTATATTAGGTTTGGGAAAAGAACAAAATTTCTTGTTGTCCAAGACAAGGGCTACACGTGAAAAACAAAGAGGGGAAGAAAATCTGTCGGGCCGGGCCCGAGAAATTTGGGCCAATAAGATTTGGGCCGGTTGGGACAACAAAAATTAGCTCACGGGCTCAAATAAAAATTTAACAGATATATTCAGGCCCGATTCGATTACAACAAAATTATCGGGCTCGATTCCGAAGGCAAACGCGCGATAAAAATAAATCGAAAAATATTAAATATATATATTTTACACATTATCACCTACACATTTATTCACATTAATAATTTAATAAATCACAAAAATCAATCTAAACAATTAGACAATCACAATTAGCACTTAATCACATTTGACAAATAAATAATTATATTGGCATTCAATAAAGTAAAATATAAATATAATTACCAATTAATAATAACAATAATAATAGCAAATAAAAATAATAAAAATAATAAAAATAAATCCCAAATAATCCACAAATAAACGGGGCATTACAAAACGGTGAAAACGTTTAGACCTGATTTTATTACGTACATGTTGGACAATGAACCGAGTTCCATTAAGGAAGCTCTGTCCAGCCAAGATGGACCACTCTGGGAAGAAGTTATAAATAGCGAAATCGAGTCCATTATGCAGAACCATACTTGGGAGTTGGTTGATCTCCCTGATGGTTGTAAACCTTTAGGATGCAAGTGGATCCTAAAGAAGAAATATAAAGCTGATAGACCGATTGATAAGTTTAAAGCACAATTGGTGGTCAAAGGCTTTAAACAAAAAGAAGGGTATGATTTCTTTGATACCTATTCACCAGTTACGCGTTTAGCGTCGATAAGAGTGCTTCTCTCGATTGCTGGTTTGCACAATCTTGAGATTCACCAAATGGATGTCAAGACGATATTTTTGAATGGTGAATTGGAAGAAGAAATATACATGGAAAAACCTGAAGGGTTTGTTGCACCTGGACAAGAGAGAAAGGTGTGTAGATTGATCAAATCCTTGTACGGACTGAAACAAGCTCCGAAACAATGACATTTGAAATTTGATGACGTGATGTTGTCAAATGGTTTCAAAATCAACGAATGTGACAAATGTGTTTATGTCAAGGGTACATCAAATACTTTTGTGATTGTATGTCTATGTGTAGACGATACGTTGATCATGGAGAGTAGCCATGAAGTTATCATGGATACGAAAAGAATGTTGAAAAGAAATTTCGACATGAAAGATATGGGTTTGGCTGATGTTATTCTTGGAATAAGAATTATCAGGACCCATGATGGAATTGTCTTGTCACAATCTCATTATGTAGAGAAACTGCTCAAGAAATTTGAAGCCTATGACGGTGCACAGTCTAGGCGTATGTGTAAGACACCCCTTGATCTCAGTATAAATCTGGTAGCCAATAAAGGTCAACCAGTGGCTCAGTTGGAATATTCACGGATAATAGGGAGTCTGATTTACTTGACGAATTGTACACGACCAGACTTGGCCTATCCGATGAGTATGTTGAGAAGATTTACGAGCAATCCCAGTCATGAGCACTGGAATGCTTTGAGAAGGGTACTTAAGTACTTGAGGTACACCCTTGAATACGGGCTAAAATACTCGAGATATCCAGCTGTACTTGAAGGTTACTGTGATGCAAGCTGGATATCAGAATCGAGGGATTCTCACTCCACTAGCGGATATGTTTTCTGTATTGGAGGAGGTGCAGTTTCGTGGAAATCCACAAAACAAACGTATATAGCTCGTTCAACGATGGAATCAGAGTTCATCGCTTTAGATAAAGCTGGTGAAGAAGCCGAGTGGCTTAGGAATTTTTTATCCGATATTCCATGTTGGGATAAGACTTTGCCGCCTGTGATGATTCACTGTGATAGACAAGCTGCTATAGGTAGGGCGCAAAGCAACTTGTATAACGGTAAGTCTAGACATATTCGTCGTAGACATAATACCGTACGCCAATTGATGACAAATGGTGTTATTTCCATTGACTATGTGAAGTCTAAGGAAATTTTGGCAGATCCTTTGACGAAAGGATTGAATAGAGATCAATTGGTAGTTTTGCTAGAGGGAATGGGCTTAAAAATCCACAATGTAAAGAATTATCATAGTGGTAACCCTACCATGATGAGTGGAGATCCCACGAACTTGGTTCAAAGGGAAAACTAAGCTATGAAAGTTCAGTTGAGCACTTGGAACATATGAATGTCCAAAGCTATTCCCTAGAGCACTCCAAGTGCAAGATGACCTGTTGATTGTGGTGAGTGTAAGTCATGTGGACTTTTAATGAATCCCTAACCTTGTAAAGGTGGAGTATGGCAGGATACTCTTGATAGGGAGGTCACCTATATAAGTGTGAAGTGAGAGCCGCTTCAAATGTAAACACTTATGAATCCATTGTGTTGTCTATGGCCAAAACAGACACAACGATAGAACGGAATGAAGTTAAGATTCTATTGTGTAAATGTCATTGACTCGGTGTACACTATGGAGGAATAGTTCAAGGCATCATGTCCACTAGTCCGCCAGTGCATCCGATGACGTTTACAAAGAAAGGTTCAAAGCCAAAAGCTACCTTTTCTGATGCAATAGAATTTTGTGAGGATTGAGCACATAGTATATTATATTTAATTTACACTCATGTGGGGGATTGTTATAATATTTAATTATTATAATGTTGAGTGTAAATTTTAATGTGTCAGGAGTATTGATGGTTCTGACATTTTGTCAGAATTAATGGCCTGACATGTTAGTATCATTCAAGTTATCAGAATGATATTATATCATATGACATATTTATTGCTCCACATCCAACTACCAAATTGAATGCTCCAGACTCGTAAAGGGTTCTGACAATTGCTATTAATCATCTATAAGAAGAGGGAGTTCTCACAAGGGACATAGAGAGAAAAGAGAAATCACAATACGCAGAAGGAAGAAAGTGAAAGAAAAATAGAGAAAATAAAAATAATATTTATATTTTTAGTGCTCAATTCTTGACTCCAATCTTGTTCGCCGGAGCTCGTAAATCTGGTGTGCTACAGATTTAGAGACGTTTTCCGTTGTATCTTTGGGGAAGTTACGCCTAAACCGTTAGCAGCCACACGGGGCGTATTCTTCTTGCGGAAAGAGTTTTACTCGCCTCGACTAAATTCTTTCTGTTTTTTTTTTCGGTTGTAATTTGATTTTATCAGTTATAATTTATTTTTTCAGTTCGATTGTAATTTTCTATTTTAGATTATTTTTAAGAATTGAAAAATTACATATCAGTTCGTAGGATTCCCGTGTATTTTTATACCCAATTTCTAACATACACACTACGAAACTCTCCCGCCGACCCCGCCGCTCACCTCCACCAGCACCGCTGCGGGCCACAAACTTCCTCATCCACCGTCGTCATACATCCACCCCGACCAGTCCTCTCCCTCACGTTCAGTGGCCACCGGAGAATCACAGATACACTAAATGAATTATCCAATTGCCGACCTCCATCGTCTCCAACCTCACCGCAACCGCCGCCGATTTCTGTCTCCAACACACTCTCCACCGATTTCTGTCTCCAACACACTCTCCGTCGTTCACAGCCTTCAGATTTGACGGGAATCATAGTCTAGAGGGCCAATTGGTCGAACACGGTTCTGGTTGGAGGCGACGCCGACAAAATTGATCTTCAGAATGTCGGCCACAGTGTCTTTCGACACAACTTCCATATTCTCCCAAGGTGACGATGGCCGCGAACTCGATGGAGAATGTCGTCGTAAATTTGGCCGCGGGAGTCATGGTTTTGGCATAGAGAATCGACGTTGAAGTGTTTGGGTTTTGGCAGCGAGAATAGATGAGGAAGGGGTTGATTTGGGGTGTTTTGTTTTTGACAATTAGATAATTTGTGGGGCTTATCTGTAATTTTAGAAGTTTTAATATATTTGCATTTTAGATTTTGTGTAATTTTGCACAACATTTCACATTAATACTACAAAAATTGCACAATATTGCACATTAATAATACAAAAATTGCACAACATTGCGTGATAAAATACACATTAAAAACTCAGTTATTTTCTTATGAAAGTTGGGTATTATCACCACTTCGCTTAGTGTTTTCAAATGTCAAAATTGAATAACTGATCAAACTTTTGGATAAAAATGTAACAACTCGAATTAGAACCGAACTGAATTAACCAAATCAACAGGAATAGATTATTATTTATAATATAAAAAACACATTTATTATTTTAATATTTGTATTTAAAATTTTATATTATATCTAGTTCAAAATAAATAATATATTTATATAAAAGTATTTTAAAATATAGTTTTTTTTTATATAACTCGGTCGGTTTCGATCGATATTGTGCAGCTTGATAGTCATTAATGTGCAACTCGTATAACACTGTTGTGCACATTCAGTGCAAACATTTTTAGTATATTGTCTAATAAGACTAAGAGAACTGAAATAATCTGTTTATTTGATCGATTAATCGAATTGCCTAAGTAATAAAATTAGTTTATTATCTACATTGTAAAAATATTTAATACTTTTAATATTTATATTTATTGTTTCATTTTTTTGGATGAAAATATATAATAGTTTTATATATATATAATTCAGTCGGTTTGATTATTTCGGTTGTTAAAAAAATAGATAAAATCGGCATCAAACTGAAATAATAGTTTTTTTTTCTCAAAAGATAACCGAGCCGGAATAAAAGACTTTGAATTGAAAATTTTAGTTCAAGCGGTTTCAGTCATTAATGTGCAATTTTTATAGCAATATCGTCAATCTAAGTGCATGCATTTTTAATGACTTGCCCCAAACCAGACTAAAACATAACTGAATTAATCAATGGTTAACCGAATTAACATAAATAAACAAGCTAAATTAATATTTATATAATAAAAACATATTCAATATTTAATAATTTTATTTTTAATATTCTTATAGTATTTCTTATATGAAATGCATAA